ATATATATGTCTGGAGAGCCTATGGTGCGCTGAGGCTGGTGGAGGATAGATCCTGGAAGATGCTCTACCCACTGCTGCTAATGCATTTCCATAAGTTCATGTCCCGGACGCCTCCTCGTGGCGGTCGCTTGCAGTGATTTAAGTTACACCCTTCTCCCTGCTAAGATACAGGACATCAGTCAGCAAGAGTCAGTGAACGGACCAGGTGTTAGACCCGCTGCCATTCGGGTTTACGTTTTATCGAATGCTTTGGCTGATGACCCGAGTCGTTCTCCTGTCAGATGTGTGCATCCTGCCAGTATCCTATTCCATCTTATTAGGATTTAGGAAGTGGTCGATGTCTGAACTCCTGTAAAACCTAGCCATAGGAGATAACAGTTCTACGGGTTATCAGCTCACAGCTCGATTGGCGTAAAGCACGAGCGCCACGCATTATCTCTGACGGTGAAGAGAACCTCCAAGTGTTAAATGGCTTACCACTGCCCACCTCAAGCCATGCAGTTCCTGGTCAATTTGAAGCACACCCTCCAAAACCCACCTGCGTCTGGCCGTCGTCGTGGGTGCGTATCCTACTACGGTAGAAAAACACATATGAATCGTTACAGTACCACTAAGGCTGCGTGTGACGGCCATCAAACAGAACCCAACCTGTCTCTGTAATCACATTCCCGAGCTGGATCTGTTACCCACTGTCTTGTTGGTCAGGCTATTGAGTCAAAGGCTCCGAGCGGAGCCCATTGCCTGGTGTGTCAGGCTACTAAGCCAAAGGCATCAAAAGAAGTCCAACAAAAAATAATCGGCAGCAAAATCGCCACTCGCGTGCGAGCACCAACCAATGCAATCAAATGCCTGCGTGCAAAACACTCATCATCTGGTGCTGAAACGTGTGCACACTACTGGGCCGGAACACGAACGGGCGCCTCGAGTGACACACTGCACTCGTCGCGATGAAACTGGCGCGCTACCACATCGATATTGCGGCGCTCAATGAAACCCGGCTCGCTGAGCAGTGAACGTTGCATGAACCAAGCGTCGGCTACATATGCTACTGGGTGGGTAACGCCGCCTCAGCACCACGTGAACATGGGGTCGGATTCGCACTACCCAATCACCTCCATGGCCAGCTGGTGGGTGAACCAACAGGCATCAGCGCGACTGATGACCGTTCGTATACGACTCGGAAGAGGTAAGTTTGCTACTTTTATAAGCACGTACGGTCCGACCATGCTTTATCCTGATGACACGCGTGATCAATTTTACACTCAGCTATCCTCCGTGATATGGTCTGAGTCGAGGAGCGCCCGACTGTTTCTGCTGGGTGATTCCAACGTGCGCGTTGGGCGTGATGCATCGGTGTGGACAGATGTTGTCGGTCCGCATGACATTGGTTCAGCAAATGCGAACGGTGACAAGCTGCTCTCACTGTGTGCCACTCACGGCATGACGATAACGAACACTCGGTTTGCACTGAGTGCGAGTGATAGAGCAACCTCGACACACCCAACGTCACGCTCACCTGCTTGACTATGTCATCGTACGTCAGCGTGATATGCGTGAAGTGCGCATGACACGTGTACTGCGTGGAGCTGAGTGTGGCACTGATCACAAATTGGTGCAAACCAAACTGTAGATATATTTTCCTAAATCTATCCGTTGCCCTCCAGTCGTGAATCGGCATAAATTTAACATTCTCTCCTTCGGTATTGTGCAGAGGCGTACTGAGCTGGAGAAGGTGATGGTAGCCCACCTGTGTGATGTGGAATGCATAGTCACAGTGGGCGACTTGTGGCACCACATTTGCGATAAGGTGACGGCTGCTGCCGAAGGGACTTTTGGGCGCGGAAATTGTAAGCGGCCGACGGGTATGATGAGAACAATGCGACAATTGGCGCATTAGTGTGTGAGAAGAATGCAACATTTGCTGCCCATGTGGCAGGCCCCAGTGACTTGGGGAAGAAGAGTAAGTTTGGACGAAATCGATAGCAACTGAGCTGAGAGCACCGTGGCTTTAAAAATGCATGGTGGACGGTGAAAGCGAAGCAGATGAAATTCTACCCAGAACGCCGCCAACACAAGAAACACTTTGACTCCTTGAATGCGGTGTACGGACCGAGGTTGAAGCCGCTAAGGAAGCTAGTCGATTGTAGCTCAGGCGCTACCTGCACACAGACTGCAGATTTGGCAAAAACACTTTGCTTGTCTCTTGAACAACCGTTCAGAGATCGACTGACCTACTTTGAACGGCCTGAATATGCATGAGGTGAAGATGAGTCTGGTGGACACACCGACACTGGATGAGATGCAGATAGCACTTGCTCAGCTGTGAAACGGCAAATGTGCCGGAGGTGACGGGATCCCACCTGAAGTATTGAAACACGGCGGACCTGCGTTGGTGGCTGCACTGCATCACTTGGTGCAACGCGTGTGGATTGAGGAGGAGGTGCCTCCTGAGCTGAAGGATGCCCTTGTGCTACCACTGTACAAGGGCAAATGGAGCAAGCAATGTTGCATGAATTATCGTGGCATCAACTTGCTTAGTTGTGTAGGCAAGGTGCTTGCCCGAATCCTGCTCAGCCGCGTCGTCAATCAGGTTGTGGAACCGAACGTGGCGGAAGAGCAGTGCGGATTCCGTTCGGGTCGCATCACTATAGATATAGCGGTTGTGGCTCGTTAGGTACAGGAGAAGTGCAGAGAACGACACCAGCATATGTACTCGCTGTTTGTTGATTTCGCCAAAACATTTGATACGGTGAACCGCGAGGCATTGTAGCTGGTGTTCAGTAAGTTTGGTTGTCCGAGCAATTTTGTAAGTTTAACTGTATGTCAGCACAGTTTTATGAGCACGAGTCAGTAACCACATCGCAAGGAACCTTTTCGCCGGCTTTTTCACGCGGGTGAAGGTCGACTGCCGATCGATTGAACTATGACACGTTCATTGCGACTGTAGTGTCTGGCTAATGTTCAGTTCTAACAGCCGAACGGCATGCGTTCCCTTGGTCTTGCCCTTCGATCCACGTATGAGAGGTCGATTGCGGCAGTGGTGTTCGCTAAAGTTCACTACTCACAGCCGAGCGGTTCGGTGTGCTCTGCGATCTTTAACACGCGCCTCTGTGCCCCATCTTACGTTGCCGGCAAGACTGTTTTCGCCGTTGCACAGTTATCAATTCAGCGTACCGGGGTACGTCAGCACCTGAATGCAGCCGATCCTAGCTTCTGATATGATTTAAAAAAATACACTTTAGTAATGCGCGGTGGGTCGTGGATTTGATCTCACTTGCAACCCGCGCCTGCGTGATTGCTCTTAATGTGGACCAGTTGGCTTGCCGTCTAAGGGCTGCTGTAGTCCGGCTCCATTTCACTTCACAGTCAGTACCAGTAATTTGTACTAATTGTAAAGATGTTTGCTATGCCGTATACTTTGATTATACGTACCAACCTACAGTGAATATCCTGTGTAGAGTAGTCCCAGTATTTGGTAGGCATTGCGCGCCTTTAAAGTGCAAAGTGTTGCTGCAGGACCACCAGCCACTTTATGACCCCTTGACGCTTGTTAACGAGGAGCTCGAGGTGGTTGACCAGTTCACTTATCTTGGCAGCTACATCAGCAATGATGGGCGCATAGAGACTGGCGTCAGCTCACGCATTGCAAAGACCAGAGCTGCCTTCTTGAACCTGCGGCATCTTGGGCGACGGAAGGGAATTTCCCTCCGTCTGTAAGGCCGTGTATACAAGGCCACGGCGAGAGCCGCTCTTCTCCATGGGAGTGAGACTTAGCCCCTTCAGTCTGAAGATCTGAGTCGCAATCAAATCTTGATCATCGTTTTCTGCGAATCATTGCTGGAGTCGGATGGCACCAGCGTGTCCGCAACGATGATGTGCGTAGGCGAGTATTAGGTTGTGCTAATCATGCGTTCTCCCTGGAACAACAGATAGCACTGAATAAGTTGCGTTGTCTCGGGCGCGTGCTATGTACGCTTGGTCACCGCTTACCTAGGAGGGCCTTGTTTAGTCTGCCAGGTGTAGGATGGCGCAAGGCTCGAGGTGGACAGAAGTTGACTTGGCAACGGGAAATGAAGTCACTGACGACCAAACTGGGTGCCGTTGATTAGTCTCGCCTTCCGGGTTAGAGTCTACGTGCCTCGCCTAGTGCTTGGCTCGAAACTTTACAGGACATGGCTCGCCACCGGCACCAGTGGCGCCTCTGCTGCCGTCTCCTAATCGGATTGCCTGTTTAAAGCGTGTGTGGTGCTGCGTTATCTGCGGGGTAATGGCTGATTATGACGAGTGGCAGTGAAAGCGGCAAGGAAGCTGTCTCACCGATGCCGCCTTATCTTTGCACGATAGCCAGATGTTTGTGAATGTATGTTGTCTACACAAGATGTAGGCTCCTTGACCCTGAATGTGTGCTTAGGGCATTAAGGTTTTCAGGTAAGTCCCCCTTCTCTCCTTCTTATTATTCTTTATTTTATAGGTCATCATGATTGTATGGCAGCGAAGCATCAGTTCAAATGCCTGATGTACTGCTGTTGATGATGATGAGTATGTATACTTCATATGTGCATAAAGCATGTACTAGACTAGACTTGATAACTAGATCAGTTATAACCTCGTTTTGTTAATTTGTCTCGGTGGTCTATGCGTCGTCCAGATATAGTAAGTAATTTATCGCTTATATTATTTTCCTAAACCAACTACGCCCTGAGGGTCCCATTCACCTTGCCGAATAAAAGGAGCAAATTAATGTCAGTATGAGATTTAGCTGTAAAGGGACATACGTCATTTAATGATCAGCAGAGCCGTTCTCTTATTCCACCGAGATCCTGTATTACCAAATAACACAACGAAAATATGATCTCAAAATTGCAGTAAAGTGTCTTGCGATGTGGAAGGAATGTACATTGTTCTCATCACGGCACAATGAAACAACGAAAATAAGAAGCTTAGGTTTTGACAAAAGTATATTTGACACTCAGGTCATGGCGAGCTCGTTGAGTTGAGCCTTAGCAACCGAATTCTCCTCGCGTTATTGCACTCAGGTCCTTCATTAACCCCTCCAAGTTTTCCATTTCTTTCGAGAGTTCCTCGGAGCTAAACACCTTCTAAATAGTGCAAAAAGGAGATGTTTAGTTTGAGTAAATGGCGAAATATCAATTATTTACGTACTCAAAGAGCTGAAAAATTACGCTTAGTGGGTACATAAAGACGCATTCTTGATTTGAAGCAATGCGTTTACGACAATCTAGCGGGTGATGGTTGATTGCTATTTTATACATGCAATATCCTTACGATGTATACACGTATATAAAAAATAGTCTACGAATAGACAATGTAAATCAAAGGATGATTCAATCATTGTAAAATGAACACTGAATAACTAAAAGTATTATCCATGGTTTCTACAGAGTGCCTGCTACCACCGGTTTGCTCAAGCCAAGGTAGGGAGTTGTCTTAGTGAACATCACCACGAGTCTTTGGCTGAATAACCTACCCACAGGATAGCGGAGTGAATTCACGGAATCTCACCTATTGCGAGGCAGTGCCTGAAGACTCAGTTCTGAAGGCTTTCGTTTGATCAGTTGCCAAAGAGGTGCTCTACGCTCCCACAATTGCAGTATCAGCTTGCTAGAACACAACGCTCAAGCAGAGTGAAACAAGGGGCAAAGAAAATTAGAAGCTGCCTCCCGAAAATGCTGCACTACACCATGCGTTTCGAGCTTGTTTGATCAGATCAGTTAGAGACAGCAGACTTTTTAAGCAGGGGCCGTTAGGATGTTATTAAGAACTTATACCCCCTTAGCCACCGGGTCAGGACTGGCAACGCTTAGCACAACGGTTATTGACCGATTGTAGCATTATCTGAAGTACTGCCGGGTGACTGGATTGCGACAGCAATCTTAATGTGGACACTGATTCACATTGAAGCGAATCTTATCCTGCTATCTACACGTAAAGAGCTCATAAAAGATTGAGACCCGGAGCGAATTATAGTATTTTCAGGAGGCAAACGCCCAGTTTCGATGCACCTCGGCTACGGTTCTATTGATCGAAGTGGCCAAGGTTCGCTTACATGCGAATCACGGTGCACAGTAAGATTGCGTGTTCCAATCCAGTCACGCATCGAATGCTTCAGATGACTATTCAGTCAAGGGTCAGTGACTTGACGAGTCACAACCGCCAAGTCGCAGTGTTGTTAAACGGATATTTGCGGCTTTTTAAAGGGAGAGCTTGTCAGGTGAAAACTCACCACATTTTGGGACACTGACCACGAACCATTGTCTGGAACGGAATAAATCCGAACCACCCGGTTGAGACCATGTGAATGATATCCGGTCTCTTCTACGCATCACTTCTATCAGGTAAATCGTTTTATGCATCGTCAACAAAACTTTATTTAAGACCATCAACTTGTCTCAGGAATAATCATCGATTCTCCCACCACCATTGAATTTGTTCTTCCTCAGGTCTGGGTACAGTTGTGAAGTGGTACCAGGTAAAGCTATTCTATCCTGTTTACGAGTAACAAGGATTTCGCGTGGTAGAATTTCCTATTACCTAACCCACCACCATCAAGAGTACGACCAGTAATAAAGTTCTTCCAGAGGAATCATGTGCAGGAAGCGATGGAAGAAATGTCGCGCTCCCCCTTTTCTATCCAGGTCTCCATTCGGTGTTCCCCCGTGTTTCCACTGCAAGGGAATAGGGGCAGCGACTGGACAGTGACCAGTTGTCCTTGGTCCGCAGATTCCGGCTAGCAGCGTGCAACACTGATGCACACGTCCACTGCGTAGGTGGATTTCCTAGCACAATAAACCCGTTGCTCAAAGGGACGCAGCTTGTCACACAACGAGGAACGGACAAATTAACGTAGCGTCGTTTTCGCGTAGTGTTACAGGTTTGTGCGTTGGGTTGACTTGTTGCAGGTTTGCAGGTAGGTTTGAGTGACCGATGGAAGCAAACTACGCAGTTATGCTCTGAGTGTTCAAAAATATCGACTTGTTCTTCAATTTGTGGTCAGCTTGTAATGGTCAAGATGTGGATACCGAATAAAAGCTCTTAATGGTAATCCTACTGCATTCCAGCCAAGGTATGTCACAGCCCCGCGCATACAAGCCTGAGGGTTAGTGTCATCCGTAACAAGTAAACTATCAAATAGTTTTGATTACAAAGCAACCGAAGGTATGCTATGGTATAAGTACGCCGGGAAAGCAAACTTTTAGTCAAGGAAAGCAGCCCTAACCACGAAATTGTAGTCAAACGATTTGCAAATTTGTGTATGAGGCAAAATACATTTGATCCAAGGACCAATTTGGTTGCCCCAGACATCGGCGGCCAGCGCTGCAAATACTCGTAGTAAAGGATTAATAAACTTAGGAACAACAAAAATTTTCTTTCTGGTTGTCTTTACCTGTGTCGTCTGAACCTCGGTTTAAATCTTAATGCAGAGGTAAGCCTAACGATGGATATTGGCATTTCAATTATTTGTCAGTAGGAAAATATTTGAAGTGGTGAAATACTACAGCATAAATACTAACCCACGTTCTGCACTGACTCAGTTAGCCGCGACCTATTAGCGTTTCCGCTGTGCAAGCACATACCATAGTGTCTCAAGCGGTAACCCCCTGGAGAAGGGGCATAAGCGAACCCAATGCCTTTGATAAAACCAGATGCCATCTCATGGCAACATCGCAGTAAGACGCGTTGGTGTACACTGCGTGGTCGTGGTGTAAAATATACAAACCCTAATGGTATCTAAAAGTTTTCCAACTTCTGAATTCTAGACCGATTACAAGCCAATTTCTAGTTTTGTGGATGGTTTCTTGCAGTCAACAGCCAGCCAGAAAGGCCTTTACGCATCCGGAAAAGTACAGGACAGTCGTTTTATCATCAATACTGAACATCCCCTGAGCTCCATCAGAAACCAAACCAATGGTATTTTTCGCTAGTCGTTTATGCATGCCGTACATTGTTACTGTGCGAGAAGCCACATCTCCGGTGGCAAACCCTGCCCTCGAGCAAGTTCGTAGCTGGCACGGTAGTGGAAGTTGATTTCCACTGTACCACAGCGTAGCTTATCAGTTATGATAATCTACCGCCGTCACCCATGGTACAGTTGCATGAGCCGCTCTTGTCAAGAGGTTATGGGACCGGTTACGGATGGAGCCGAGGAGTGCGCACCAATCACAAGTCCCGAACAGACAAAACTGCCGTCTAGTGCTCTCCTGGGCAGTGTTCTGCTTGACTTGGAGATGACTGCAACTAACAACCTAAACATTACACGAAAATGCCTCACGCCTTAGCATGTCAAGATCTGGGTCTGACAAATTAGTTGCAATATACCGAACGGAAAGATGTACATTTGAGCGTTCTGCACAACCGTTTTCATGGTTTGAATGCATCACTCTAACATTATGCCCTTTTGAGTAGCCCATTTGATGTTCGTTTTCTGGCCCTTGGAGCATCCTCTCGGATGGATGAGAACTCGGGTTGACTTGTGGATGATGCCTCGGAGATCGCTGCTGTTTCAAGTCCACCAGACGTACTGTTGATTTGGAGCCACATTGTTCCTGCAGCTCTTGTCTCGCGGCCGCATGAGCATCACGTGCCGCTTGAGGTTGGACGGTTGCAAGTTGTTCTGGAAGTGAGGCAAGATGCGTAAATCATGGTGAACAAAAGAATTTCTGATATGTAAGTGGAATCTTTCTGACAGTCAGTCATATTTCTCAAGCGAAGATGATAATTTCCACTAAGTCCGGATACGTGTCTGAAATGTGTAAGTCAGGCCCTGCACTCAGGACTTACATTGCTCAGCATTTTTTGTCATGTATATTATACAGGAACCATTTGACTACTGACTGACAATATTCTGGCGACCGGCTGGTCAATATCGATGTCAGGTCTCCTCTGATAGTACAGCCATTGGTGGAGGGGCAATGTTGATGTGCCGAATCAACATGTAACATATGGAAATACAAGAGCCAGTTGTAATCCATGTACATGTAGCTGAGTCTGCGGCAGCAATCTAACGGTATTCCGCGAAATCATACAACCCATGAATGGACCCCTTCGCAGGTTGCTCCTACATCACACAATAGGACTATTGTGATCAAAATATATTCCAGAGGATGGTAGAGAACCAATAGTGAATTCTGACCTGCATATTTGACATCTAAGCACACAACGAGCGTAGCAGCGCTCGGTCGAGGCGAATAACTGAAAATAGCCTATTCAAATCTACATGACACTAGCACGAAGAATGAGTTACATCTGAATACACTGTGCATCATGTGCTAAGATAATGAAGGGAAATTAGCTAACTCCTTATCGAATATCACAAGTTACTCACAAAAGCAAGCAAGGTGCGGCATACCGTTTTTATTTATTTGATGGTCACTAATTGTTACTTCGTTTATCAACTGCTTGATTTAATATATACCACGTAACAAACAGCATAATACTCTATATCAGAAAGAAATGGATGCAATAAAAGCCTTGAAAGCTGATGAATCCATTGTCATTTAACCGGCGGACAAGGGATGCATGACGGTTATATTGAATAAAACGGATTATGTCGAAAAAGCGAAACAGCTTCTGTGTGACACAAAAACACATCGCCGCACTGAAAACAATCCAACAATGCTGCTGACAAAAGAATAAACAGTACACTGAAATTGCTCCAGGAACGGAACCAGATCACAAATATATTATATATATATTATACACAATCTGTGGTACAGATATTGTGCCATCGGAATCATGGCTGAATAGGAAAACAATATGAATAATAAGAAAAGAGCAACAAGAAATGCTTTTTTTGTCAAGTTTACCACTCACAGTTTTTGAAATTTTTTTCAGTTTGTTCGTTTTTAGGGGGAGTAGGAAGGGACACCGCAACACACTGATGCACACGTCCGCCATTGACATCGATCTTGAGCCATAACTTCCAGGGTTTTCAACCAGCAGGTATCCTCGTCTCTCGGACCCCAACCAGGTAGTCGATAACAACCGGCCGAGGCCAATTGTTTCGTCAACTTTTTCATGCGGCTTCTCCATGTTGTAGGCTGTCCACCAGACCGTCTCTTCCAGCCCTGTCCAGCAAGTGCAAACAGCGCACGACGGGGGTAACGCTGGACAGGCATGCGCAATACGTGTCCCAACCACCGCAGTTGATGCAGTGAGATGAGCTCCTCGAGCGAGTGGCTTCCACGTCCCAAGACACGCTGTCTAACTTCCACATTGCTTACGTGGTGCTGCCACCACACACGGGCAATGGACCGCAGACAGCGGTGCTCGAAGACGGATAGCCTGCGCAAGTCATCTTTACGAATGGGCCAGGTCTCGCATCCGTACAACAGTACAGCACGAACAGTTGCACAATAGACCCGCCCTTTGATGGAGAGACGAATGTCGTGGCGACGCCACAAATGCCAGATCACAAAGGAAGACCGTGAACGCATGATGGCCCGAGATCCGAAGATAGCACAAATCTAAGGGCTTCTAAAAATAAACAAAGACGGTGCATCACTAAGACCAATTGTATCTCTCCCATGTACACCTAGGTACAAAGCTAGCAAGAGGGTTGCGGAGACGTCTCAAACCCCTAACAATTGGATCATAGCACTCTATACATACTGGAGAAGCTCGAAGGTATACGAGTAGATCATGACGAGATAATAGTGTCGTTCGACGTGACCGCACTCTCTACGTCTGTCAGCATACAGACCGAAAAGCAAGCAATCAGCGAACGTCTGGATCAAAGTGAGAAAACAATCGGAAAGCGGACGACTGAAAATCTTTGCAACCTATTTGACCTATGAATCGCGACCTCCTTCCCTTTTCATGGACAGATCTATGCGCAGGTGAAAGGAGCCCAGATGGGATCCCCTGTGTCAGGACTCGTTGCAGAAATAGTAATGCAGAAACTTGAAGAGGACGTACTGCCCATAATCCATCCAAAGTTGTGGATTCGATACGTCAACTATACATTCGTGATACTGAAACGCAGTCAAGTAGAGGCTGCAACCGAGTTGATCAGTAACGACATCGAGGATATTCATTTTACCATGGAGTCGAAATAGAAGACCAGCTTCCATTTTTGGATGCGTTAGTCATTAGGACGATTGACGGAGAGTTGCAAAGATCGCGTTACAGGAAATGAACATACACTCACCAGATTCTAAACTACTACAGCAATCACCCGAAATGTCACAAAATAAGCTGCATGCGTGGAGTTGAAACACATTGCAGCACTCTTGAGGCCAAACGGAAAGAAGAGATGTATCTGTTCAGATCATTTCACCTAAATGGATATCCGCATAGCTTTGTGCGACGATGTCTAAACAACAAAGCTACGACCTCTCAGCCTGCTCAAATGACAGCAAAGAGAATCATTGTACTATATGTAAAGAACATTTCCTAGATGACGGCAAGATTATGCAAACAGCACGGTCTTATAGTGGCTCACAAACCAACCGACACATTGAAGTGAGCCCTCACGAAACCCAAAGCTAGACCTGAAGCACACGAAAGACAGAATGTTGTTTACAAAATAAGGTGTCAATCTTGCGATAAGAACTATGTGCGTCAGATAGAAAAACAAGTGTCTACAAGAATGCAAGAGCATAAGAGAGCTTGTAAGCACCACTATGCTCTCTCACTGGTTTTAATACATACAGACGAAGAAAGAAATCGCTTCGATTAAAATAACGCAGAGGTCCTAGCGAAAGGAGAGACACGAAAAGGAAGAGAGTTCCTCGAGGCATAGTACTCGACGAAGCACTCGATAAACATACACGTCGAGACTAACTCAGTTTACGAAACACTAAGACGGAGACAATTAAAACAACTTAAAAACCGTCGTGAGCAGCTAAACGAGCCGCTAACAATACAGCCGCAACAGCCGGGGGAAAACCATCCCACGGATTACCCACGTCTATTCGAGAAGTTGGTTAGGCGGATAGTCACTGGGCACAGATCGAGGAGGTCAATTCAAAAGGCACTTGCTGATCGACGCCAAATAGACAACCAAGTCAGCGGATTACCTTTGACCCAGCATGACACTGAGGAAGTCACCTCGTGTGGTGATGAAGCGTTTGCATACCAGCTGCGAAGCTCGGTGAACAGTTGAACCCAGGAATGTAGCACTGTGTATGGACAAATCATGCAGCGTCCAATATGCTAACCAAATATGTACAAGGGTAATATAAGAGGGGCTGGTATGTTCCCGCTGTACCAGCCACTAACATCCGAAGTGCATCAGAATCCATCGAACTTAAATATAACAGTAAGCCCGGTTCACTAAGGCTCTGTCATAAGTGTATGGCGGTTTCACTTGCAAAATATGTACTAGCACTGACACAGAAAGACGATAGCCTAGTAGACGAAACTGAACATCGTTAAAGTGTGAAAATTGCTCCGCTCGAATTGACAGTAGCACAGCTTGCACCTCACCCGTCTCCCCCACTTATTATTTCGTTAACCAAGAAAAACAGCCAAGCATTCCTAGGGCATCGCAGTGCCAGAACCGTACGGTGTTAATGAACTAATTTGTTGTCCCAGACAAGTGAAGCATGCTCGACTCTGTCACTATATCCTCTTATCCAAAGTATCGGTAGCATCTACACTTCCGATTGACCGAGAAAGCTGATACTCTCCAAAGACTGATCTACCTATGCTACATTCGCTAATCAACATAATCAAAATGCGACCTGAATAACTTCACATTATATCGCTACAACAAGGTTCAAGGACCAGATGCAACCTGCAGAGACATCACGAAAACCCTCGATAGCTGTGCCTCGAAAATCACAGTAGATCAGGTATCACTACGGTGCCTTAACACTCACATGCATCAACGTTCTCGAGTCACAGGCAAACTCCTTAACGAGTTAACAGCAGGAAGAGTCAAACAGCGGTAGTTCCGTTGTGTTGCAATCGGAGTGTGTGTCAGGTTGACTAATTTAATGCACATCACTAAACATCCAACGTCGAGGCACTAAGGTGAGTCCCAGCCAGTACGCATAACTTTGGGATCCACAAATGATGTCGAGACGGTGCTTTTGTCGGCATAACGATTGCAGACTGATACAGCGGGATACGATTATTTCCTGATGTTTCATGGAACAAACGCCAGCGAGATAAAAGGAATTCAAACGACTACCGCATGGAGAGTAGCAGAAGAGTCATTTTTGTTCATAGCGTGCCAGAGCCAAAGGCATCCAGTGACGTAGAAGCTCATGCTCATGACCTGGAAGAATGGCAGTACGTCCGTGAAACTCGCTGTGATGGTGACGTCATACTTCAGTCGATTACACAGTTACCCGTGCCGCCGCACTACAAAGGCAGAGATCCGAGGGTACTGAAACTAATGGTCATTATTGCTGATACGCTAACGGCGTACTTGGAAGAAGTTAACTAGCTTAAACCACAGCAGTATAGCTTCTGATGAACTCGATTGTGCACTACAGGTAAACGTTCAGCACGATCCAGCTGGACCGCAGCAGTAAACACTGATCTAGGAGTTAATGTAGTTCTTTTCGATTTCCCAAAGGTATTCGATCGACTAGACCATGGCATCCTGCACTTCAAAGTCTAGACTTTTGGTATTAGGTATCCACTCTATAGTGGATAAGAAGC